GCAAAATAAAAATGCAAATACGCAACTTTTTCAGGGTGGCAGCACGGTCGCGGGTGTCATGGCGCCGTTCAAATTTCGTAGCGTTGATGTGTAAATAATTAATTAAGTATCTGGTGACAAATACATGTGGGTATAGACGATTTGTTATACAGTAAGTACAGTTGTATGCAGTAAAATCCTAGAGGCTACTGTCCCTTTAAGACTTTGGTACATTTCGTGTTTATTTACCATTAATTTTTTTTATTGAGACGGTTCAAGTGCCTGTGTACGCGTGTGTGCACGATATACTATTAGTATTACTATACACGAATAATATTATTATTAATAACTTATTCTTACTCTTACTACTTAGTAGGGCCTAATACTAATAGTAATAGTCTATGATAATACCGTTACATGGCAGGAACTCGAAAATAACAGCTGACGTACGTAGGGCCTACTAGTACTACCGCCTAGCCTACCTGCCTACCTTTCATTTCACCTGCGTAGTATTTTTGATGTATTGTACCCTGTTATCCTCATATCTTCCGTTGTACACTGTATATATGTATATCGTATGCACAAATAAACATTTTTGAATCTGGAATCTTGAATCCTAAATATTGGGTTATTATTGCGTCAAACTTTCCGCGCCGAATGCCGCTAGCTCATGCGCGCGCATTTACAACCGCGTGGCATAAGTGGCGCCGCCGCTGTGCATTACCCATAAAAATATCCTGAAAATATATTAGACGAATTATCAATGTTTGATAATGTTTCTATATTATCTGATATTATCTATCTACCTAAATTATTTCTATGGTATTTACAAACACGTAGTATTTTTGATTTTTAATAACGTTTTTAAGGGAATTGATGTATTCATTGAAAACAATTATATTATCAGAAGTAGATAATAGGGAACCACACCTCTATCCCCTATTCAGTATATCTACTTCTGATATTCTACCTATTTATCTATATTATCATTTCTATGACATTATCAAATACGTAATTACCTCATAACCTCCAGTTCCGTGATATCTCAACTCAACCATGCAGACTCCTACGGCCGAGAGCTGGATTCAATCCTCCCTACCATGCAGGCACCATGCATCGTCTAACGGTCTAACCCATAGGTCGACGATCCAATCCTAGTCACGCAGCATTACACCGGACGAGACCGCAACCCCAGTGTGAGGTGACACACACACACACACACACACACACACACACACACACACACACACACACACACACACACACACACACACACACACACAC